AAGCATCTCTAGAAATACCAATTTTTCTGCCTCACGCTGGGAAATGATTAGCGATCTCAATTTGTGGGACATGCCACAACTACAATCCACAAATAGCACAGTTAAGAACTAGGAAAGCATTTACAACACAGGCAGGGCAGATGTGCTCAGTACTAGCGAACATGGAGGGATCCTCAGTCTGAAATACAAAATGACCATATTCCTGGGAAGGAAAAGAGGAAGCATCCTTTACACCAGAGTTAAAATTGAAAATCAGAACCATAGAAACAGCCTCTACATTGCAACATCACAATATTAAAGGACAAACATGACAATAATTTTAAGGCTGTGACACGAAGCAAAGAAGGCGGCAGTTCAAAGCTCGTGCTGTAATTTCCTCCACACCCCAGCTCAGAAAGAAGCCAAAAGGCACCTGGGAGGCACAGAATTTTGAACTGTCTAATCCTCAGATATCACTTAAAAGGAAACTTTTATCTTAAGTAATCAAAAAGTCAAATGGAAAGGATATTACTCAGAATCAATAGCAGGTTACTTAGCCCAGGACACAGCAGTATTTTGAAATCTAATTTGCCTAGAAGAGTTACTTTTCTAGGAATGAGATTTGAGTAAAGAGTTCAAAACTAGCTCACTCAGCTGGAGTGATAATTTCACAGATTCAGTTTTGCAGAAGTGAAGAGATGACCCATTATTCATTTTAAGAAAATCTTTCACTTGCTTCCCTCAGCCTTCTACAAATAATTTTACCATACTCTGGTATGCTAAACTCCGCACTAGCAATGAGATATCACAGCGTTTGCCAATTCTAAAACCTTCTCCACGCTGGCTACGGTACTGAACACGAAGCCGCGTGAATACCTAGTATGGCACTTAAATGATTTTGACCCAAGTGAAAAGAGATGCAGTCTCTATTCAAGGTGAAAACAGTTTTCACAAAGCTAGCTGCAGCTAGACATGTGTATTGAGGACAGATGAGGACTTTTAAGATGATTTCTCAGTTACAGATTGAAGACCCATATTCCAAGGAGCTTTTGGGGTGTTGAACCAACAGCCTAGCCTGTAACTGTCCCGTGTCCTTTTGCTAACAGCCAGAACTTAGTCGAAGCACTGCTGACAATGAGTATTAAAACAGTTATGTTTAAGTTTAAAACATTAAAAGAAATGAGACCTCACTGCAGGCTTTATTTTCCAGATGTCACTGTTCTATATCTGACTTCATTCATTGCACAGAAGAAGAAGAAAGTAGCCAAATAAACCCCTTCAGTCCATAGAACACTCTCTCCCATACTTTAGGACAGGCACAAAATTAAACCAAATAAACGTTTCCAAAACCTGTTTTCAAATAGCCAAACAGGGGCATCCCTCTTTGGTTGGGGTGGTTTATTCCACTGATGCAACTTCACTTTAGGCTAAAACTCCTAAAAACCTGGTAATTTAAGGCAATGGGGGCATACAGTTTTCACTAGGAGTGGCCCAAACCACAGCACGAAGGAGAGAACATACTGCAGATTCTTGCTGCTTCACTGTATATTTACAGGAGAAATTACACGGGTATGAGAGATGACTGGAGTCTCCACATCAGCCAATTGAAAAGTCAGTCCTACAGAGCTGCTGGATCTCACATGCTGGCTTGATCAGAAGTTACGTTAATTTTGAGAAGAACACCCCTCCGTTCCAAACCTAGCTTTTAGGAATGCAAAAAATGAATATAACGTAGAACTATGTTCTAATCATTATCAACATCGTATCACAACAACGCAAAAATCGCTATGTTACCCACAGTGCTTTCTGCAAATCTAGCCACTGATAATCTGTGTAAATTCTGCAGTGCTGATGATTTACCAAGCAGTCCTTTGGTATTATAGTGAAGTGTGTCCAATTTCATAGTAATAATTTGCTGGGGGGTGGGGGAGTATCCCCAGTCTGGCAACAAGACAGACGGTTTGGAGTTTCCTCTCGCTGAACTCAGTGCCATTGCTTCAGGTTTATACCAGTATCACTTAGCAAAGAAAAAGATCCTTAAATCCAACAAGTGTTAGAGCAAGGAGCGCTTGCTCCCTAAGACCAATTCAGCATTTTGTAGCTTATCTTTCCCCTCTCACACTGACCAGTAAATTTGGATTTTTCGATTTCTTGTCTGAAGACAATAACCCAAATTATCACCACTTGAAAATAAACTCTGTATTTTCTGCTGAAAATTTATAATGTTTCTTGCACTGTAACTACTGGAATAATTTTAAAACTTTCAAGCAAAGTGAAGTGAGGGCCTTAAAGAACATTACTAACATTACATAGGGCCTAACCACTGAGACAGCATCAATGTTTTGATGAGGTTGACAAATTGCCATTCAATGCCATTGCCATGCGACCAGATGGAGAACTGACCAGGCATTCCCTCCATCGGTGCTAAAAATCACTTTAAACCAGGGTTAAAGATATGAAAAAAACTATTACCAATCATGTTCTGAAAGGTATTAACCCAAGTTTTTAAGCTCTGAGATACTGATTTCTTTAATTCTGTAATAATACCCCCTAAACAATCTCTCCTGTGCAGAATATATCTGGCCGGTCACATTCAACATATACTGGAACAGACATCCTTAAGCCATGTGTGTAATAAAGAACTGAGATACAGAGTGAAGTAATAGAATACAACAAAATGACTGTGCAAATTACTACAAAGGGAAATAATGCCTTTTGAACAGAACACTTAAATGTCATCACCATTCCATGATTAAGAACTGACCCATTTAACAAGAGGTATCAAAGCTGGTTTAGCTGTAAGCAGCTAAACCAACACAGGTTTAGCTAAGAGTATTATTATTTTTTTTTAAATTTTAAAACCAAACAGTTCTTATTCCCTTCATTCCTAAAACAGTGCTGCAGAGAAGTCTCTGCAGTAACAGCAGCTTTGATATCTTCTGGTACTTGGAGTAAAGTCCAAACAAGTTAACAGACAAACAAGAGATGCAGAAAACTTAGGATTAAACAAGACAATAAATTACTGCATTCAAACGCTTCTTATACATGTCTTCAGCAAAGAACAAAATCCAAGTCTCTAAGTTCATTCTGAACCAACTCATGAGTTTTGCTTGGGAACCTGTACCGCTCTCACTAAGACGGAGAGCTACCCAATGTCTCCAAGGAGACAGGTATCCCGGTGCAAGCTGATGACCAATGAAATGTGCATTTAGTCCAACTCTTCATTACCGTTGCATATTCTCACATGTCCAACCCTTCTCATCCACAAGCAGGTGGAGCTCCTGACCCATGAAGACTCTGTTAGGAAGCTTACCTTCTCTCTTCCACCGTACCTGGCCACTGAGCATGTGCTCCACTGAATTCACTAAAGAAACAGAGACGCTAGTCTGGCTCCTCTGAGCGGGTATCACAATGTCTGTCATGCCTGGCTGTAAGGAGACTGGCTTGCTAGTCAACTAGTTATCAACACACTGTTAGCATAATCCATTACCGACCACGTACCTGTGAAAATGGATTTAAAAATTTGCAGCCGTTTTGGGGCCTACTAGTAAAACTTTTTACATAAAAATCTGGGTGGTTCAACGTCAACTATAACAATTTATAAGATGGTGCCCACAAAGAGTGTACAATCTCCGAAAAGAGCAAATTACAATAAATGGCAGTATTTTAATACGCTCTGAATTTATATACCCATGCCATGTGTCAATACATTTCCACGTTTGGAGAATTTAAAAGCAAATTGTTACTACTGTGCCCTCATTCTGAGCTGCTGGCAGAGAAGCCAACGAAGTAGAACAGTAATCCTGGTCTGGTCCTTGCTAGTAGTAACGGGGCAGGGATGAAAAGACATCCATATCAGGTCTCTGTCACGTTGAACACTGGGGCCTGAGTTCTTGAAACAGTGTGTCAGAAGATTGATCTTTAAATGGAAACAATTAGAAGAAAATTACATCTTCTTTGCTGGTATCATCTTGCACATTTAACGGACTCGGCTGAGAGGTCACCAGGGTCTGAACGTGAACGTTATTGGGTTTGAATAGGTTCGCTGAGGCAGGTGAAAGTGCTTCCGGCTGAGCATCTGTAGGACCATACAATTCTATAGAAAAAAATGGAAGAAGACATATTCATGACACTGCACAGAGAGGCTGATGCATTTCCATGGACATGCAAGTTGGTCAAGACATACCTGGCTGGAATGCAGTGGTCTGGCTGCTTGGGAGGACTGGACTTGCTGATCGTCTGCCTCTCAGGACACCCTCCTCTCGTCCAACAAGCCTGGGGGGAAGCAGCTGCTTCTGATCAACGGATGCTACAGAAAATATTTTACAAATTAGTATTTGAGGCTAGCAGTACTTCACAAATTTCATTATTTCATGCTGGGGCCCACTGTACTGACACCTTTGCATATCCAAGGAAGCCGCTATACCACAAAGAGCTGATGCCTCTGTTGCCAAGTTACTTAAATTTTCTCTTCAGCTGTTTAGACCATGAATACTTTCTCCTCTTCCTTGAGGACTTCTAATTCAGTTACTAGCAGCCCCTGACAATCACAGATTTAAAACCTAGTATTATAAAGCACAGTAGCGAAAAAAATCTTTGTCCTTAGCATTCAAGGAGCAGTGGCTATTTGCACTACTTTTAACATGCAGCACTGTGATGAACTTTTGTCTCCGCTCTCCATCTGTCTCACAGCTGCTCAGCAGCAGAGTCCACTGGTTCTGGTGTTATGGCCTATCGGTTTCTTAATTTCAACAATAAAAGCAATTCATGAAACGGTTACTCTGGATCCAAAGAACTCCCCTCAGTGCACATTCCTTACACGTCACAAAACCCACATTCAATACACAGTATTTTGCCTCTGGTACAGAAAGTCTTGTTCCAGTTTATTCTAAGATCTACATATGGGCATAACAAGCATGCATCCCACTAATGCTCATGAGAGAACAGAGACCAATACATTTGTGTTTTATACCTTTCATATAAATTCCAGAAAAACACCATTAAGTACATTTCCACTGCAGAGATCATTATGTAAGAGCTATTAAAAATAAACTTGGGGAGATGTGGTATTAGAGCTTTATTTTCCCATTTACCAGCATTTGGTATTCAGGGTAAGAGGATATCAGGCTTCATTTATGTGCAAAAACATAAGCAAGTTTGCAATTGTACTAAACTTTAGGCACAACAGAGACAGACGTTTCTACAATGTGCAAAAGACTTTCCCCCTCCCCTCCCTAGATGGCTTTGGCCCTGAGTCCGCTATAGTAGCGTAAGCCCAAGTGTCGGGTAAGCTTGCCAAGTCTGAATCCTATACAAAGCTAAAAAGATAATTTTGTAACTTAAAATTATAGGCCATTCTCCTAAGCTGGCAGTAAGGCTATTTTAAGCAGTAGAGAAAATGTGGTTTTTACTGTGTCTGTCATCGGCAAAGATCACTACTTTAATACCTAGCAGTTAGCAGCAGAAATTACACTATGACAGGCTGACTGCGTTTTTACTTGCTTCTATTTCTGACAAAATTAACCCCTTTCAACTCTACAACACACACAGCATCTCAATTCTGGCCTGGAAATATGTATTTAATGACTGACTGGTGCCAAGAAAGGCATTACATTCAATGTCATTACAACTCTGGACAGATAGTGAGATAAGGTTAAGTCAGCCTCAAAAAATTTCACTCACACAGCACAAGCAAAACATTTGCTATTTTCCTTTAACACTACAGTTAGGCAAGATTTTACAGCCAGGTTTACAAACTCTCACCACCATTCTGTACTGTTGGATTACAGAACTCCATTTTCAACACAGCATCTCAATTCTGGCCTGGAAATATGTATTTAATGACTGACTGGTGCCAAGAAAGGCATTACATTCAATGTCATTACAACTCTGGACAGATAGTGAGATAAGATGATGCCAGCCTCAAAAAATTTCACTCACGCAGCACAAGCAAAACATCATTTGTTTTCCTTTAACACTACAGCAATGAGGCAAGATTTTACAGCCAGGTTTACAAACTCTCACCACCATTCTGTACTGTTGGATTACAGAACTCCATTTTCAACATTACCCCTTTGGGCTACATTTCCAGTTTAAATAGTATATACACGTAACTCCTAATTTAAGGATTTTAAGAGCCTACTAACTGCAGTAAGCACACCGACAATTTGTAGCATACTAATTTCTGGGTTCCACACAGGTAGCCAGAGGTTTAAACTACAGTGTTCCGTCTCCCTGTGATGCTGGCAGAGATCAGAAATGCATTTAAACACACGTACCTGAACTGTCTGTCCTATGAGACGCTTTGTTCTTCCCACCTTTCTCTTTGCTTCCTTTTGTAAAAGTGGCCAACTTAGTAGGAATCTGCTGCTGGACTGCAGCTGGTTTCTGTATCTGATTCGTTGCACTCAGGAGATGTATTGGCACTTCATTCTTCAATGCAAGAACGGGACGATTCTCCAGGGTGGTACTGTCCCTACGAACCAAGTCTGGCCGTTCCAGGTAATCCATCCCGGAGACGCTCACTCTCACAGAGGTTTTCAAGAGGGATAGAGATGGTTCCACCCCTTCTCCATTGAAGCTAACAGAATGACTTAGCATCTGGTTCTACATGAGGAAAAAGGCATTCTAAGTCAAACGGGTATTTTCACCCTCTCGGATACAACAAGGAGAGACCACCCTCAGCCCTGAGAACATAAAGCACTTGCTAGTGAAAAATATAACAGGTTAGACGAAGCCTAAAGCATGCTGGCAAACAGAAGGAAAAGCAAGATTGTAAGTCCTTGAACACTGAGAAGAACCTCAGCAGCTCCAAACTGCTTAATATTGCACCTAGCAAAGGAACGCAAGAGCAGACCGTGCTAGGTGATGATAGGATGGAGAGAAAGCAGGACTTTCAGACAGTAACAAATGAGCCAATTTAATCAGACCCCAAAATTCACATTTTGAAACATAAGAAATGTTTTTAGAAATCAACTGTACAAAATGCTACCAGCACACCTTCTGCAATCACCTGCCCGCAACAGGGCAGTTCCCGTATTAAAAAAAAAATCCCCAGTCAGCCATGTTCAAAAATAACTTATTCTCCATTTCTGTTTTTTTTTTTAAAAATATTCTCATTACCAAATGTCTGGGTGGAATTTCACAGACACTGGGGAACTGCCAAGCTGTGATCTCTCTGACAGCAGCCATCATCAGCTATTTCAGATGATGGTTCAAGGAGCCCGGTAAAAAGCAAACATGGGTTAGTGCTGCAAAAAGGGCAGCCTTCATTCAGAGGCAAGCAGGTTAACAGAAATAAAACTCCAAGAAAACGCATTCCTCACCTGTCCCATTTCTGGGGAGAACGTGCCTGACACTGTGTTCTGCTTCTTCAGCTTCCTTAGCTGATCCAGACGCTCCTTCTCTTTCTCGACTGCTCTCTGAGCTTCCCGCAGCCTCTCGAGGTCATGCTGATAGGCCTCTCGCTGCCTCTCGAGTTCTTCCCTCTCCTGATTCAACTTCTCCCTCAGCTGCCGAGTCTCCTCTTCACGCTCCTGCAGCCGGGCTTCTGTGCTTTCAAATTCCCTCTGCTGTCGACTCCTTTCCCGTTCCAGGCGTTGCTGCTCCAGCTTCAGCTGACTCTGAAGTTTCTGTACATTCATCAGTTCTTCTCTCTGTTTTTCAAAGTTCCGCTGTTTCTCCTGCTCTAGCAGCAGATTGCCTCGTGTAGACTGCAGCCGGTATTGCTTCTCCCGGTCTACCATGGTGGCTCGTTGCATCTCAATGTAGCTGTCCTGCTGAGATATCACTGCCTGGAGGGGAAATAAGAAGTTCAGCATAAGGCACATGGGTTCAAAAAGCATGCTCAGCTAAACAAAAGACAAAGAGCATCTACCAGATTAGATCACAGATACTTTTGTCTTCAAGAGCAGATCTAACTTCCAGCTTGTACAGCCCATTGTGACTGACACAATGCTGAAGATGGCTAAGCAAATAAGTTATGCTTACATGTGTGAAAATTAACATTTCTTGCACTCTGAATCCAATCAGTCAAAATATTGCTGATTACAAGGATACAGTAAAAACAACTCATACATACATACATGTGTATATCAACAACAATTTTAAGAAGAAATGAGCATGGAGAGCAGACGGAGCTCAAAGTAGCAAAAGAATTGCATTTAAGTGAGCAGGAAAAAGGAAACAATTACTTAAGACAACAGATCTAACACTTCCTTCAAAATACCAGATACAGTGTTTGTTTCCTTGAGTCTCAGATCTTAAATTCTGCACTTCACTCTAGCTTTAGGGGATATTTTCAAGGTAGCTCCTCTCCACACCTGCATAAATTTTATTATATTTAATGCCTAACAAACCTCTTGGATCGTAAATAGTGGTTTACCTGAAGACTGAAGAGCAACTGTAACAGCGTTTGTATCCTTTGGACAAGCTGAAGAGGAAGGGAGGCAGGGGGAGGAAAAAAGACATTAGACACTTGAACAGAGCTCTGTTTTGATGCATTAGACTTTTTTTTTTTAAACAGTGAACATAATCAATGGTATCTGTACAAAACCACAGACAATGGAAGCACAGCTACAAGAGTACTCTAACACAGTAATAGCCAATAGAGCACTATGCAGGCACGATGAATTTCAGTGTATTAGTCCTTGCACAGACATAAATCAGTGCCAAGCAAATCCCACTGGGATTCCAGGGAGCAATCTTCATCATCAGTTTTCTTCACATGAGCTATTTAATGATCACTTCCTCCCATGCTCCAGCACTGAATCACTACACAGGTATAGCAGTTACGGGAGACTCCGAGGCAAGTTTTGTCAGTGAGCTGAGAACATGCAATGCCTCCAGAGATGCAGGAAAAGTAGTTAGTTAGCCAGCTCTTTGAAACGCGTGTCTGCATACCCAGAACCCATCTCTGTTTTCTAAAGGGACTTTAATCTCCGCATTCATAATGCGTTAGAGTCATAAGGTACAGGCCGTTAATGTGCTTGTGGTTCCACAAGACATTAAAAATACTGAGTTTTTTGGTGTTTTTTTGTTTGTTTTGTTTTTGCATGCTATTATTATAATATGGCTATTTGCCATTAGATTTCCTAACAGCAGAAGTAACATACCTGAGAGACTATGATGGGCTGAAAACCACTGCTGTCATCCAGCCTTGTTACATCACTCTGTAAAAAAGACAAAACCAACATCTGCGCTAGAGACACTTGTTGGGCATTGGTAGTGCTGCCAGAACAAGTTGGAAAGGTTCATCTCATTAGGGAACAGCATTTACCGCTGGAGCAGAGATTGCTCCCATAGACTGAAGGACACGTATCAAAAATACTTAAATCAGAGGTCAGGCTGAAACAGATGCACGGTGATGAAAGCTAGCGTTAACGGTACTGCATCAAATGAACAAATATAATACCAAATGATCGTGCCTCTCAAGTGCTAAGCTATCAATTCACCTGACAAAACATCCTTAATAGAGTCTAGCAATTTGACAGACAGAACTCTGTTACAGTCTGGCCCTACTAGCTATTACGACTTTTAACTTTGCGTAATTTGTTTTGCACCACTATTATGAGGAGGAACACGAGGAAATGCATTTAAATCATGCGTAAGCCCAACATACGGTTTGAGATCCTTCTTCTGCATCAGAAGGGAGGTCATGGAGTTGCACATCTGAACTCACTGCAGGGCCTCTCCAGTCCCACTGTCTCTGGTCACCACCACTGTTCTTCCTAGAAGTACCACCTGAAAGAAGAGTGGAGTATGAGTAGCTCACACCGGCACAGGGCCTGTGAAAACTCACTGCATAACAGAGCAAGCAGAAAAAAACTGTGACTTTGAAGTTAGAACCAATATGCAACTGTATGGCTTATCCATGCTGATTCAAAGTGGAAGAGCAGACAACAGTGACAAGTAGGACTGCTCAAAAAAGTACAAAAACTTGAGGAGAGTAGGTTAAGATAAACAGGGAGAGTAAGTTCAAGTTATGTTATACTATTTTAAGTGAAGCAACCACAATGTATGCATGAAAATTATCATCTGTGGGTACCAGAATTGCAAGCTCATAACATGGAATACTTGTTAGCCAGAAAAGTTCTGTTCAAAGCAGCACCACTGTAAGCACGGAAGGAGGTAGGGGGAGATGGAAACCAGAATGTATAAAGTACCTATAGTGTGACAGACATATAGCCTTTCAGAGACAAGGGAAAGAATTCTAGAGATTAACAACCAGTGAAATAAACACCTTTCTATTTTTCAGTAAATGCATGAAGCAAAAATGGAGATAAATAGTGTCTAGTATTTCCACTTATTTCATTAATTAACTGATAAAGCATCTGTGCCAAAAGGACAATTTATGTTATCTAAGGATTCAGCAATCCTTCAGTGACTGTGCAGATACAAAAGAAAGTGGAAAAAAGTTTTCATGATTCAATAATAAAAACAGGCAGCTGAATCCGAATTTCCTAGGTTTTCAGGTCAAGCTTTCCCCCCCCAAAAAAACCAATTAAAATTCTGTGTGGAATTGTGGTAATTAGAAAGTATGGGTTAAGGTAATGCCCTTAGCATAACACCAACTGAGAGCTCTACTCTGCTCTCTAGTGTTGGTATCGGAAGCAAAAGATGCAACATGATAATACCACATGCTACAAATTTGCTCTTATCCTCCTCTTAGAGCCTGGTGAAGCTTCCTTATATCAGAGCCTCACTTAATTCATTGTTCTTATCTCATTCTCTGTACAGAGAAACACAGTAAAGAGCTAAGAAGCTCAGAAGAACGCTAAATGGTCCCTTTCTTACTTTTATTTGAAATTGAAGGACTACTGTCATATCCTCCAAAGGTCTCTGCTCTCCTGGGGAGTCCTGACCCAGAGCCATCTTCAAGCTGACAGGATCCGTTGCCTAAGTGAGTGAAGATAAGGTTCTGGAGATTTTCAGCTAGGAAAGAGGAGAACATGTCATGTAAACAGCCATGTCTATGCAGCAAGACAAGTGCTAACAAGTTTAAAAAAAAAAATTCAACTGTCAAGTACATGAAAAGATCGGGCAGTTTGAAAGATTTCCTGCAGTACAGATGAATTTTCCTTTGTGACTAGCTCTTTACGACAGGCTTTCGTATTGCACATATAAAGATGACCTCTTCCTTGATTGCAAGTTAGATTATCAAGCCTGGAGTGGGTTTTTTTTGTTTGTTTGGAGCTTTTTTTCAAAATAAAAATTATGTTTGTGCTTATTTTCTTTCTAAATATACTGTGTAGGCTATTTTAATCTATAACCCTCATGTAATATTGTATTTCAGGATTGGTGTATTATTAGAACACTTAGTTACCCATCTGAATAGGCTCATCCTAAGACTCCACTGGTTGATCCTTAAAAATAAAAAAATCCAAGCTGTGGAGAAGGTTCCTCTACCTAAACACACAGGTGCGCTTTACCTATCTTGCAGATTGGTTCTGAGAATAAGAAGTCTGAACAGTGTTACACAAAAGTATTATGTTATTACGGGATGATTTTCAGGATCTGTACTTAGATCCTACGTGCTTATCCCCACCCCTCCATCTGAGTGAATGCATACACATTCCCAAATTGCATTTACCTTCTGTCACTGCGGACTTCAAAATAGCCTCTCCTTGCAGATTTTCTGAGATATCCCCCCGAAGAAGTAGCCTAGATCGGGATCCTTGGGAATGGTCTTCAAACCCATTCATTTCAGACATTTCTAGATAAATCTGTTGCTTCTCAGTTAGACTTTGCATAATCAGGTCATCTTTCATGTTCAAACGCTCTAAGGGAAGAAACAAACTCAGTTCTGCCTTCCTAATCACTGTCTGAGTACAATGTTCAATTTGGAAGATTATTATTCATTTTACGGTCAGAGCATCAAATGCAGAGACACAATTAACAGTTAAGGGGAAAACTCACGGAGCATACAAAGCTTCTTAGGCTTATTTAACTTAACTATTTCTATATAATCTTGCAATACCTTGAAAGAATTATGAAGGACAAACTTGATCACATCATGTGATAAAAGAATAAGACAGTCAAAAATCAAAAGTGATGCTGAGAAGCAGTTCGTGGAATACATAACTAAGTCATTACCTTGAAAATCTTTTAACTTAGCAGCTCTTGCTTCAGCCAGCCTCCTCTCTGCTTCAGGTTCATTAAATGTTCCTCCTTCTTCATCAGGACAGCTGTACAAAGGGGGAGACAGATATACATTTGATTTGCACATTAAATAACGTAAAACCATCTCAGGATTCAACTTGAAGCTTCTGCCTAGGATGTGGTTTATCTTGTTTGTTAATCTTCCTCCCTTATCCAAAGCCCTGTTGCATTTGACATCAGTGAACCAAATTTTTTGTTTATTTTTTTAAAAAAGCAGAATAAAGTCTTTGGCTGGTTTTTATTGCATCTTTATGAGTGGCTTCTACCCAACGAACACAAACAGAATTGCATGCTTCAGTCTTATGAAGAAAGTTTAGGGACAGTCAAATGTATTTTTCGGCAAATTTACACCTACGAGTCCTGCAAAGAGAAGACTGATGGGCAAGAAATCAAGCCCTCTGACTTTCACTCATGATTTACCTTTCTACAGCTCTGCGGATGTGTGCCATCCAGGAATTCCTCTCCTCTTTCGAGCTTGTGTGAATTTCATACATTTCTGGTCCTTTTAAGGAAGCGCTAATTAAGAACATTGCCTTTTCCTCATTAGCTACCTCTCTCACAATCAACTTTTGCAATGAGATAACTGGTGGTTTAGAGTCCTGTAAAACAAAATATAATTTATTGCACTACATTATAGACGTTCTTTAGGGTTTGTGCTTCCTAGCTCCCCCTGTCTTGCTACTTATACAGGGCTACCATGAGCCATAGCATTGCAACACTATAACTTTATTGCTATGGCCTCTTCACATGACACTTTCGGCATTGTCATTTTTTGCTCATCACCCATAGATCAAAACATAGAATGAAGAATGTACATTTCAAAAACAAGAGGTCTTGGTACCTGATTGAATATTAAAGCACGTATCAATTTAAACACCTGAGGATTCCCACTGGGTCCCAGAAGTCAAGAACAGGCTCAAAAATGTTGCTCGAAAAGAGGCAAAAACAAAATTTGAAAAAGAAAACAAAAACCTTAATGACACATGTGAAGTGAAAGAAGAGAACAAAAGGAAGTGTTGTAAGTTCTAAGTTGGCAAGTTAGCTACAGAAGAAATAAAAACATAACACAGGTGTTACAGCGTGCCATCAGGCCCTGTGAATAACAAAACAAGGTGACAGATAGCATATTGTATAACTGAGGATTAACTGGATTAGCTGCCAGTCTTTGCAATGAAAACAAATTTACAGGAGGGATATTAGTTACTAAAAACCTATCCACGCTTCACACAGCACAGGTCCAATATATGTAGCCTAGAAAGATCCTCCCCAGAAGAAAACAGCTCTTTGTAACTG